CATTGTTGCGCACACGTATTTACTTTTGTATTTTTTAGTTAATTTAACCGGCTTATCATACATTTATTATAGTTCACAGTATAATACAAAGATCTCCGAAATCCCTCCTCAAAGAAATCATTTTAGTGGACGACGCGAGTGAAAGAGGTATTAAGACATCACTTTTAATACTCTTAAGAAATATTTTTTTCATTTAATTTATTTAATAATTTTTTATTTTAATAGATTTTTTAGGCAAAAAATTAGAAGAATATGTATCGAAATTACCGGTTCGGGTGATAGTTCTCCGGACGGGCAAACGGTCGGGTCTAATACGGGCCCGACTTATAGGCGCTAAGGAAGCCAAAGGACAAGTCCTTACTTTCTTAGACGCTCACTGCGAGTGTACGAAGGGATGGCTCGAACCACTACTCTCCAGAATTGTTGAGGACAGGTATGTCTGCTTTCAATTGAGTTTACTTTTGTAACTGAAGTCCAACTCTATTAACTAAATCTGAACTAGATGAGAAACTATCTTAAAATAAATATTTTAATCTTATATGAAATTTTAAAAATTGTTTTGTAACTTATTGTATAAAGAACTAGAATAGCCTGTCCTATAATCGATGTTATAAATGATGAAACCTTTGAATACACGCCGGCGTCGGATATGACTTGGGGTGGATTTAGTTGGAAACTTAATTTTCGATGGTATTCACTATTGATATTGCTTTTAGTATACAGATTTTATGAAATATTAATTTCTAATACATATTAATATAATTAATAAAAAGGTTTCGCATTCCTAAGCGAGAAATGAAACGAAGAGCCGAAGACCGCACACAACCGATTCGGTAGACTATATGTCATTGGATTACAGGATTACCTCAATATTTTACTCGCTATTTATAAATACATAGATCACCCACAATGGCCGGTGGTTTGTTTGCAATGGATAAGCAATACTTTGAGTTGTTGGGCAAATATGACGAGGGAATGGAGATCTGGGGCGGAGAGAACCTGGAGTTGAGTTTCCGGGTCTGGATGTGTGGCGGGTCTCTTGAGATCGTCACGTGTTCACACGTGGGACACGTGTTCCGGA